AAGTCCTGTCCATTAGTTCAAATAGAACAGATCCATTAAACCAATTGTTCAATGGCAAGTCAACACACAAGTAAATCCCATAAATTTAATAGGTCTTCTCTAGTTGCAACTAGCAATAGGATACAGGTCAGAGTGCCATCTTAGCACTGCCTAGTGATAGAGAGCTTCAGCATGTCATTATATGTATTCTTCTTAAAATAACTCCCCAGATTCTGCTTATTCATTCAGTGATTGCAAATTAGGTTGTTTCTTATTAAAATGTGAACCCAACCAGTTTCTCTTCCATACCTAGTAAAGACATAGGGCCTTTGCAGACTGCCAGAAATAGTGCAAATTGAGTCCACTTTAAGGGTTAGAGTTAGTGCTAGGGAATCATGGGAATTGTTTTTTGTTTTCTGAGACATTGAGCCTTCTCTGTCAGAGAGCTCTGGTGCCACAATAAACTACAGTTCCCATGATTCCCTAACCCTAACCCTAACCCTTAAAGTGGACTCAATTTGTACTATTTCTGGCAGTCTGCAAAGGCCCATAATTTGCTCCATTGGCCAATATTAGGCATGCTGCTAGATGAATATCCAATGTATCTTCTGTAAGCCAACTAGCTTCTGCCCTTGCAAAAGAAAGAGAAGGATAATGAAATGGGGTTTCTCCAACATATTTTTGTCTCCCACGATACTAGAAGAGAAACTTGGGAGGCAACCAGATTCTATATAAAGAACTGCTAATTCCTGTTTAATTTTCTCCCCTTTATTACTAATCATATCACTGAAAACATAGTTTACAGCTATATAAATAGGAGCTGTAGCTGGAGGGAATTGTGGAGCTTCTGTCAAGTTTTCAGCACCCAAATGTGAAACAGAAGCAATTAAACTCTGAGGGGAAAATGTAACAGTGTGGAACATATCAAAAACCGGGTCATGAATTCACACAGATGGGAAAGCCAGGAAATGGTGGGAAAGAGATTTGATTGACTTGCCATCAACAGTCAATGAGCCATTGGTGGTTTACTGTCAATTTTTTCTTCTTTGTTTTAATCCACAGGTTCCTGAGGTGAAATTGCCCTCCCTTCCACAGTTAGGGGAGAGTCAGAAAAGAGGCAAAATGCAGAAAGTACAAAAAGAGGTAGAAGCAGGCCAAACTCTTGTATAATTTCAGTGGTAGCTGAATTTATGGAATAGGATTTACTTAAACTGCCCTTCCCAGAGCAGGATGAATGTACTTTTGGGACTACAACTCCCTGAACCTCTTGACCAATATGACTTTTCTGGTAGCTGTGTTCCAATCAGTAACTTTTCCATGTTGTGATTTTTGCAAAGATACAGAACCAATGGCAGCAGCCATTGATGCATAATTATTTCTGAGGCAAGTCTCTCAATTTACCCTTTTTGTTTGTTACAGGAGGTGTGGCATTTTCCTGGTCTAAAATCTGGCTTTGTGAATTCTCATAGTCCTTTGAGCTGAAGCACACAGCAGGTAAAACTATACCCAAGAGATACCACCAGCACTGCTGCTACATACTTCTGCCCTCTTTATACAGATTGGTTTTGGAACTTTTTTGTTTTTATGTGTTTTGCAATTTTTTTCCAAGTATGTTTGTTGTACTTTGACATTTATTTTATGTTTCTGATGAGCTATGTCAAGCATGATGCAACTTGAGAAAAGAACGTGTGGGTGGGTGGGGGGGGGGATATAAAGGTTTTCGTCTTCTTCCACTATGGGAAAACATGGCTTTTTTCATATCTGCAGGCACAGTCCTGCAGTCATTTTAAAAAGAAAAGGGGCACAAGGTTCAGCCATTCTTTCTACAAGGCTCAGCATCCCAAGAACAGGCTTGTTTATATGTTTACTGGATGAAATTAACTAGAACAGAAATTGCTTGCTAGCCAATCTAGTCAGCTTCATGCTTCCTTTGATTAATGAAAGGCTAAAGAAAGCAGTTTAATTAGGACTCAGGATAGCACATCCAAGAGTATTTCTCACATCAAGGTTCTTCCCCAACTGAACAAGAGCACCATTAAGCTACCAGAGGTACATTGTTGTAAGAGTCACAGCAAATGTATGTGAGAAATCACAGACTATAATATATATAGGTACAGGGTAAAGGTATTTCCCATTGACAAGGTTGTCAAGTTGTGTGCAACTGGGGTGATGCTCATCTCCGTTACTCAGCCAAAGAGCTAGCTTTGTCAGAGACTACTCTCTGATCATGTGGCCAGCATGACTGCACAGAATGCTGTTTACCTTCCCACCGAAATGGTACCTATTTATCTACTTGCATTTGCATGCTTTCAAACTGCTAGGTTGGCAGAAGCTGGGACTAGTGAAAGGAGCCCTGGTGGTGCAGTGGTTAAATGCCTGTAATGCAGCCACTCACTCATAGACTACAAGGTTGTGAGTTCAATACTAGCCAGGGCTCAGGCTAGACTCAAGCCTGCATCCTTCTGAGGTTGCTAAAATGAGTACCCAACTGTTGGGGGGCAATGAGCTTACAGTTGTAAACCACTTGGACACCCCATAGCACGATATGAAGCAGTATATAAATGAAGCTGCTTTGCTTTGCTTTAGCTCACCTCATCATGCAGCACCCAGGCCTCAAACTGCCAATCTGCCAGTCTTGCAACCAACAGAGTCAGCATCCTAACCACTTGAGCCACTGCATAATATGTATGCAACCTAAGAAAAAGTACCATTTGAGCACTCTTAGGAAAATACAGTAAATGGGCTTTTGCTGTTGGGGAAGGAGAGATGGATGCATCAGTATAATACAAGAAGGCACTGCAGTAATCCAAATGCATCATTAGCAATAGCTGTATAAGAGTGGCCCAGTCATCCTTCAATCCATCCAATAATAACAGTAGAATTCCAGCCAGGAAACTGAGAATTTTATCCAGCATGATATGCTGAGAAAGTTGAGAATTGCCATTATATTACTATCATCATCACTGCCACTTCTACCACCACCACCACCTGCATGCTAATAGCCAGCATTTTCTTGTTTTCTTGTCCCTATTATTACAACAGTGAAGCAGGGCCATCCACACAAGCTCAGCAATCAGTGCTATAGGGCAGTCATGCTACGGCCCTAAAGTAGAGCTGGCTGAGCAGAAAGTTGCTTACCTGTTCCTGAAGCTCAGCAGCAGTCACTATGCTTTGAAAAGTGGAAGAGATTTCCAATAGTACCCTGTGATTATTTGGGAGGAAACAGGATTTTACCAATGGGAACAGCAAAAACAAAACAAAACAGGAAGGAAGGAAATCATAAATTGGCTGGCTTGTTATTGTTGTTAACTGCCCTTGAGTCAACCCTGATTCATGGCAAACCCATGGATGAGACACCTCCAAGACTCCCTATCCTCCACTACTCTGCTTAGGTCATGCAGATTCAGGCCCATGATCTCCCTAAATGACTCTGCTCACCTAGTCTGTAGTCTTCCTCTTTTCTACTACCCTCTACCTTTCCCAGCATTATTGTCTTTTCCAATGAGTCATGCCTTCCCATGATGTGGCCAAAGTATGACAGCCTCAGTTTAATCATCTTGGCTTCCAGGGAGATTTCAGGGTTGATCTATTCAAGGACATACTTGTTTGACATTTTGGCTGTCCACAATATCTTAGCACTCTTCTGCAGCACCATATCTCAAATGAATTGATTTTCTTTTTATTTGCTGTCTTGACTATCCAGCTTTCACATTCATACATGGTGATGGGGAATATGATGATTTGTATGATTCTGACTTTAGTGCTCAGTTGTATATCTTTTCTCTTTAGGATATTGTCTAGTTCTTTCATAGCTGCCCTTCCCATTCCTAGTCTTCTTCTGATTTCTTGACTCCAGTCTCTGTTCTGAACAATGTTTGATCCTACTAAGGATTTAAGAAGAGTCTGGATTCTAAACACAGTAGTTTACCATTAACATTTAAACAATGATTATATCCAGTAGGAATGCTAAGATAATTACAGCATCCTCATAATGTGCAATATGTTAATTGTGCCAGATTTACTGGGGATGAGAATTATGTTCTTCTATGAAAACCCCCAGTAATTTCTGTAGGAGTACAATTCACACAATATAATGTTTAATCAACATGAATGAGTGTGGCAAAAGATAGGCATTATTGCACTTTTCATATAATGATGTTAATGGACTCCATCTGGCCTATGCACAATATGAACTGCAAAACATGCCTCTAAGGTTTATAGGACAAAACTGTGTATTCCTGGTGGTGAAATAATATGAGATTATATAATTAAAGGTGCTTATGTAGTGTGGGCTCTGATAGGTTGGTGGTGTAAGTGTGCAGTTTTTAGTAGGATTTTTACATGCAGAGCCATGCATCATCAGTATTATGACTAAAATGGGAATGTTGGCATTCTTATTTGAAAAAGCCAAAAATAGAATATGCTCTCCAATACAATGGTAAATTAAGCTGATATTATTCCTATGAAAAGTCTGTCCCCTGCTCCTTGAAAGCTGCCAGCTGGACCCAGATGCTCAAGATTTATGTCAAAAGTCCCAAATTCAAACAGAGGGACTGATATCTCATCCAAATTCTTTTGACATGGGTCAGGTAACATGTTTCCTCAGACCTTTGGTAGAAGCAGCAGCCTCTTGTTAGCTTCCATGATTCCATTTATATGCAGATTTAGATAGTAAATGTTTATATTAGAGTGGAGAGGGAAGTTTCAAAATGTGCTGACAAATATGGCAGATAAGAAACACAGGTAATCTACCTCAGTTATGGGCAGGAAGGGGGTAATAAATGCTGAACATGGTAGAATAGTGGCTTTTGTTCTGTAAAGTAATACACACTTGCTCTTAATGTTCTTAAACTACATGATTGTCCTTAAATCCACCTTTGTTGTTGTGTGCCTTCAAGTCATTTTCAAGCATGGAGACCCTACATGAAACCTCTCACAGGATTTTTGTGGCAAGATTTCTTCAGAAGGTGTTTGTTGAGGCTGAGTGTGTGACTTGCCCAAGGTCATCCAGTGGGTTTCTTTGGCTGAGCAGGGATTCAAACCCTGGTCTCCAGTTGTAGTCCAGTGCACAAACCACTATACCATGCTGGCTCTCAATAGATACTTAAAAACTAAAGATAAGATTATGGACTGAACTGCTAAAATTTACTGAACATGTACATGCTCAGTATATGTATGTGAATATATGCATGTATGTGTCCTTAAAAATATATTCTGTTGTGTATTATACATATTAGTTATTTTTCTGTTCTGGAGACTGGTTGAGACATTTTTCTCTTATTGCAGGCCTAGGAGCAGAGGTATTGTGTCAGGCAGCCTCTGAGATCAGATTGCCTCATACTCTCCAGCATTTCACAGATAATTTCACTGGGACACATGTGGCCAAACATCAGAGTGTGGCCAAGATGGCAAAAGTTATTGATGAGGAAGAACACAGAAGCTAGGAGAGGTTGCAGCCATTTGCTTTTGCCTGAGAGTGCTGGGCAAGATTCCTCCTTCTCCTATGTTTATTCCCCAATGAATTCAGTGCAAACTCCTGTTGCAGTTTGAACTCAGTTTGCAGCAATTTCAGTAATCTGATGACAAAGTGGGGAAATGGGGACAGAACAGAGAAACTGTGATATTTTAAAAGTTGCTGAAAAGTGGGTATGGCAGAGGATTAATTGGGACAGTTAGAGGGTATGCTTCCTCATTGTCTTGTTCTAGTAAGGATTTTTTAAAAAGCTTTTGCTATAACAATACATGGATCTGAAATACGATTCCTAGGGAACAGAGCCAAAGGATGAACTGAGCTGATCAGGTTAGCTCACACCAGCCCTTAATTAACCATGACAAAGACCCATTACAAACCCTAAGCCATATCTTTTCCAATGATCACCAGTGTGGCAGCTTCCCTCTCTGAAGGCATCATTGCATATTGTTGTTGTGCTTTCAAGTCATTTCCAATTTATGGTGACCCTAAGACCCTAATCATGTGGTTTTCTTGGCAAGATTTGTTCAGAGGGGGGTTTACCATTGCTATCCTCTGAGACTGAGAGCATGTGACTTGCCCAAGGTCAATCAACAGGTTTCATGGCCAAGTGGGGGATCGAATCCTGATCTCCACAGTCATAGTCCAACCCTCAAACCACTATGCCATGCGGGCTCTGATAGCATATTACACAAAAACATATATAACAAAAGCCAGTAGCAACTTTTTCTGGGGAAAGTTGGCTGGGGGGAGTGGAGTACAGATCTGAGGATGTATTATAAAGTAATAATTATCATTTGGACATTATGGTATATTGATGAAATTTTGTCAGTGTCATCATTGGTCCCTAAGTGCATGATGTTGAGAAAATCTTCTCATTGTGTCCATTATATTTATTACAGGTTGTGCTAGAAGTGACTACAGTGTAAGATGGAGAAATATGAGGGGGTATTATAAAGTAGTAATTATCATCCAGAAGTTATTATGGTATATTGATGAAATTTTGTCAGTGTCATCATCACCAAGTGACTTTTTTTCCCCAAAAAATGAAAAATCCATTGTGGGGTCACTGATTTAACAACACAGATGACGCCAATAATGAAGTGGAAGAGTGTTTTAAGGAGCAATCTGTAGACTTCTACAATAACGATATTCGGAGGGTCAAGAAAAGGTGGGAAAACGTGTAAATTTGGATGGTGATTTTGTAGAAATAAGTTAACTACAAATCAAAACAAACTTTCTTTCAAAAAAGTTTAAGGGTGACAAAAGTTTACGATATCCCCTCGTATGGGGAGTAGGGAAATGCTTCTTTTCCAGCTTTCCAACTCTTCTTCAAAATCCTTCCTTTTAAACTGATTTTCCCCAGAAGGAAAAAGAATGTCCTAAGCATGAGACGTGGTTCAAATGGTTATTTTAAAATGGTCCAGGTTCCAATTCCTTAATTCAGAGACAGTCTGGTTGTCTGAGGTGAGATTTCAAAACCCCAAGATTTCTTCTTTTCCTTGAGTAACAGTATAGGGAGTTCCATTCAGGAACAAAAATAGCTATTAAGCACATTTCCCTCATGCTGTTCCTTACTCCCAAATAATTTACTCCCAGAGTTTGATTGTCTATTTCCCCCTTAAAGGGCAGCATAGAAATCATACATGTGTGGATATAACATCTGATTTAGTCCTGCAATAGCAATAGCAATAGCAATAGCATTTACATTTCTGTACCACTTACTAGCGAACTCAGCACTCTCTAAGCAGTTTACAATCTGTAAGCCAATTTCCCCCAACAAGTTGGGTACTCATTTTACCCACTTACGAAAGGTTGGAAGGCTGAGTCAACCTTGGAGTCATGGGATCGAACTCACAACCTTATGGCTGTAGTACTAGCATTTAACCACTGCACCAGCAGGGCTTCTTCAATCTTGCAGTTTCTAATTAGATGGCTGATATTCTGAATGGGATATGTAGCTACAATGTTGTAACTATGCTTCATCCCCCAATCCAGCTCTCTAAGGCCCATCTTAAAAGCCAGGCAGGCACACCAAGTGAAGACGTTCTGTGGTGCTGGTGAGTGGGATACACCTCCCACCAGTGAGCCACAATGCAGAGGAAAGAATCTTTGACAGGTCCTGCTGAAACCCTTCATCACATCACAGCTGGGTGTCTAGGAAGGGGCTGGATGCATCATCTTTAAGCTCAGTTCACCAGCATCACACAACCCCTTTTCTCATTATGGTTGTCTGGCTTTTAAGGTAAGTTTTAGGGGTAGTTGTAATCATAGCAATGACACCACAATAGTAAATGTGAATGTGAAAGTTATTATGAAAAATCCATCAGTGATAAGTTTAGAGAACCAGCATGGTGTAATAGTTTGAGGGTTGGACTATGATTCCAGAGATGAGGGTTTAAATCCCATCCTTGAGCATAAAAACCCACTGGTTGGCCTTGGGCAAGTCACACTCTCTCACCCTCAGAGGATGGTAATGGCAAAAGAAATGTGCCAAGGAAATCTTATGACAGAATTGCTTTAAGGTCACCATAAGTAAAAAATGACTTGGAGGCATACAACAACAACAACAACATGAGATTTTTATGTCTAGTATATGACATCCCAACTACCTATCAGGATGCCAACCAGGGGTTTCTAAATAAAACATTGATAGCAGCATGATTACTCGTTTGGATGGAAATATTTTTAAAGTGGATGCACCAGTCATTTCCTACTTGAAATAATATTACCCCAGAGCTTTCCCTTAGAGTGGATGGGGAAGATCTCACTTAAGTCATTGTTGGATCAATGTCAGGTGCCTGTAAGAACAGCTGCTGCTTGAACAGCAGTGTTTGACCTCAACTTAAGAAGCCAGATGCTCAACTGGTCAAATTTTAAAGCAGATCCTCAAACTAATCCATCACTGGAATCCATGTCACAATATATATGACTGACAGTTTCCAAGTCATTAATGTACTGTATTTCTGGTGTATAAGATGATTTTTAACCCAGGAAAATCTGGGGTTAAAGTCAGGGGTCATCTTATAC